ACTTGCAAATAGGGAATGGCTTCTTCCTAACCCTCTGTTAACTACCACGGTGAGCCTTTGCAAAATCAAACACTGACAAATAAGAGAGCATGACACTGTATGATTTCTAGAGCTGATATAGGGCAATTTGTTCAGCAGAGTGATGTAAGCTTCGTTATGATTGCATCATCCATGACTTCTAGGAATAACATGATGCAATTCATATCATATATGACGCAATACCAGCTTCAGATTACATCATTCATTGTTTTGCCAAAAAGCAAGTACTGTCCAAACCCAGTCATAGATTTATTCATAGATCCAGTCAGAGATGTATTTTAGTCCTTTCTGGTTTAAAATGAGACCCCTTCCCTTTATAACTCACTTATCCTCCGCCATTCCCAAGTCAAGGGTTGTATATACTGACCCAATAGCATATCTTGAAAACTAGAGCCAATCAACAATTTTAAGCATCATTTTCATTCTCAGTGACCCAGAATTAGTAAAGTTTGACTACATTTATTTCAGAAGCATTTTTGCTGGAGAGCAGTGTAATCAGACCTCTTTAGCTTGTTTTAAATTGGGCACCCAAAAACCCCAAATTGGGTTACTTCTCAAAATCTTGGCCATAATTACTTGCCTAATGTCACCCAGCAAGTTAGTGGCTATTGTGATTTACAACTTTGGATCTTCAAATCTCAGGTATGTTCCAATAGGGGTGGATTTAATGAGAAGCATGGTTGGCATTTGATGACTTATGACCACTGTTCTGCCATTTACATGGCATAGCAGCCTTTGATTAGCAACAGAGCAAACTCGGGAGTAGATCCTCTCTGCTGTTCTTCTCCTCAGCTCTTTTCATCCTCCATTGATCCTCTCTGTCTCTATCTTGCCTTTCCCTGGGGCAGCTGTCAAAGCTCCTTTCTCTACCACCAAAGCCCAGAACAGGCTACAGGACAGTATAAAGTTGCTTCAGTGCTTATTTCTCCACAGCAGACAGCAAAGTAGACATCTGAGGCTGAATAAAGCTACCTCCATCTGTTCTCTCAGTTCCCCTCCTCCTCCCTGGTAACCACCACTGGAAGGAAGGAAAAGACAAACTGACTGTAGGACATAAGGCGGTCGAGAAGATGTGGCCCCTATAAAGATCTACAGGGATGAAGGTGGGAACAGAGAATGGGGAGCGAGGGACAAAGATTCCTCTTATCTCTTATGTGGGAAAGTAGGATGGGGCTCAGAGAACTAGAAGGAAATTAAGAGGCTCAGAGCTCCAGGGATAGCTGAGACCCCGATTGTTGTAACAGATGAAACTCTGGCAAGAGCACAAAAAACAAAAAACAAACACCTGTGAGAAATTACAGTCATTTTCAATTTTCAAGTAATAGGGCCATACTGAATAAAAGAATTTTTTGACATGTGAAGGAAAAATACATTCTTCAGATTTGAAATGGGTAATGCTTCCAGTGAAAACGATAACAAGAACATGTTTCCCAGCCAGTGCAGATCAAGAAGGTTGTTGTAAAATTCCTAAGGATGGTGGTTTATTTTCTGAACACTAGAAGTACCCAGGAGATGCCGTAGAAAATCAGAGAATAATATATACTTTTAGCATAGAAAAGTTGTAATAGTTTTCTTGGACAAAATTTTCAAATGTGGGCATCTAAATCCATTATTCTTCATTTTCAGAGGTGTGGGGACTCAGTACTTCCAAAAAAATTAGGCCACTTATTTGGGTAACTAACTTTTGGCACTCAAATTTGTAAACACTGGCCCTACTGATAAAAATCTGCATGCCACCTACTCATGGCAAAGATGTCAGAAGTTTTAAAGCTCAAAGAACACAACTGTGAAATATGTTCATACTGTAATAAATCATAAGCAAAAAAAGCAGAACCCAAGACAGTCTTCCCAGCCGTTTTAAGGGCCTGATCCAAAACCCACTGAAGTCAATGGGAGTCTCACCATTGACTTCAAAGGGCTTTGGTTCAGGCCTTTCATCATAATTCAGGATTGCATTATACTGATTTATTCTTGATGGCACAATTCTACTTTTTAAGACTAAACCATTCAGCCTTGGGGGAAAAGAAAAAAAATCTTCTCATTTATTTTCTTCACATGTAACTTTTGTAGATTTTTTTGAGAAACGACAAAAAGTAGTATTAAGAAAATTTTATACAAACGTAACACTTTCTTTATCAAAACCATACAATGTTTTTCAATACATAAGTGACAAGAGAACAATAAGGATAGACATATGTCTTAGGGTTCTGATGATATCACAAACTACCCTTTTAAGAGCTTGGTTAAGGAAAGAAAATATACAAGAATATTATGGAAAGAGTTGTGCTAATTCCAAGCCAATAGTTTTGGCAAGATTTCAAATCTAACAAAATTGTCAACAGTCATTTCCAGCATGATCGACAGATAAACTGGTTTAGGTACATTCTCTATTGCTCCCTTCTCTTAATTCCATCTTGAGCTTCATTAGGATCCCAAATAATGCAGATACATTTAAATATATACTTATACATAATGTATCTTTTAGACAAAATCTGGAAATATTTTATAGATCACTTAAAAGTTACACAGAACTAAATCTATTAAACTTATGTGAAGAACAGTACAGGATCTTTATTCAGAGTAAGCTAACACAGGGAAAACAGTAAAGAAACTTACATTTCTCTCAGCTGCAAAGTCAACATAAAAGAAAAGGAAATCATGATTTAAAGCTAAAAAGGTGTATATGCTCTTGTTGCATGC